TCTCTGCTTCATATAAAACCACACAATGAAACTCAACAAGGGCTCTAGTGTCACACACCATAGAAACACAATGCTGCACTTATAAAAAGAGCCATGTCCTCTATTGATACCAGCTCAGTGGCCTAGCGGTAGTGTCCACCCTGGGACTGGGAGATCAGAGTTTTACATCCCAGTCAGGTCATACCAAAGCCTTTATAAATTGGGACCCAATGACTCCCGGCAGTGTCTGCAGCTCATTGCTCCACATGGGAATGGGTCAAATGTGGAGGACCATTTTCACCACACCAGTGGGACTTTAATCTTGATTGAACTGCAGTGATAAGCTGCTCAGACAGGCCAGATGTACGTATAGACAGAGAAGTTCAGACAGAAACAGGTTGTCTGTTTCTGTCTCCCCTTCGGAGTAGTAGAACACGTGGAGAATCCTGAGATGATGCAACGTTCTAAAAGCAGAGTGATTTGTGAGCAGGCCGTCAGCCGTGGGGCCAATTATGATGCGGAATGAATACAGTTCTCATTCTTAGGATTGACACAGTGTGTGGTTATAACACGAAGTCACGGAAGGCCTAGAGCAGGGGTCGGCAACCTGTTCCCATCAAAGAGCCATTATTACCCGTTTTCCACAGTAAAGAAAACACTGGGAGCCACAGCAGCTGTGGCGTTGTGGGCGGGGCCTACCCTCAGACAGCAGAGAGCTGCTTTAACCAATCACAACAGGTGACAGCAGCCAGTACCGGTCGCTCGTGTACGTCAAAGTTATCTTTCATAAAAAAGATAATCAATAAAACGATTTATATAAAATGGATCCAGAAGTTGTAGCCCATCTCTGCTACAATATTTAGATATTTTTCACCCTGTTGGTGGTTTTACTGAGCAGGTGCCACTTTTGTCATACGTTTCTTTTTAAAACATGTTTAGACTGTTCAGAATACAAATCCAGGCTCTGTCACGTTTGATTGTTGTAATTAAACTTTGTAGGTGGGGAAGGTCAGAAAAGCATCCGATCAATTTGTTTTTCCCTCATTTACAGAGACGGAAATAACGGTGCAGTGCGCCTGGCTCCGGTGTTAATCAAGTTAAATTATAAATCTTTGCAACAATTTTCACAAGAAAACAGAACAGTTAAAAGCAGGGCTTGTGTTGACCGGATAGTTCCCGTATTTGACCGTTTATTTTGACGGAGAAAGAATAGAAAGAATTACCCCGACGCATGCAGACGAACTGACACTTTATTCGTTTCGCACATCGCAGATGTAGCTAAATCACTCAAGAAAAGATTCCCATCTGAACATCTGAGCTGGACACTGCTCAGCGCAGCTCACTGTCAGCGCGTACATAAGGTGCACAGCGAGCTGAAGATGTGGAGAGGGGCTTGGAGCATGTTGCAGAACCAGGGCGCATGCAGGAAGATTCCTCCGACTGAAGCGAGACTTGTCACTTAGAAAATGTTCCCTGATTATGAAACTTTGGCTGAATAGCGCTTGTTCCTGTCTCCAATGTGGCGACACATCCAGGAGCCGTCTGAGGAGAATCCCAGAATCTCACATCCTCGTCAGCTCAGAATGCGCCGATTTGACTACGCACAAGCGTGACGCGTCAACCCGGTCTCACAGTAAGACCAGGTTGGAACTGTTCAGGTTCTCGCAGACAATCTTTACATTTAGAATTGGCATACAGATGTAAAATTAATGCAGTAAAATATAAAGCTTTTTATTTAAATATCCATCCATTATTTTACAAGCACAGAGAGCCGCATCAGATGGATGGAAGAGCCGCACGGGTGGCCGACCCCCGGCCTAGAGGATGATCCCCAGATGAAGCACAGCTCTCATTCCCCAGCTGACAAGCACAAGCTCAAACTGACAACAACCCCCTTCAGACCTCCATCTAGATATGATTAGAGCATCTGGAGTCTGATTGGGACTGAGCAGCAAATCAAAAAAGCAACACAACGTGGGAACTAAAATCAGCCGCCGAGCTTTACAGACGACCTCTGAGTTACATTCTTGTCCCGTCGCTGCCTGAGAGACAAATAGGAATCAGAGCCGGAAGTGTTAACTGCTTATAAACATGGGTCAGTGTTCTAAAAGCTGAGCAGTGAATCAGGCTGCAGGACATGGTCAGTATTATGGGAGAAACCCGACTCTGCCATTGCAAAGCTGCAGCTGCAGCTGCTGTCCCAGTGCCTGACCCCGCAGCAGTAAAACATCCCGACAGACGGCAGCTCTTCTCATACGGAGACCTTACCAATAACGATCACATTTAGGCTGAACAGCTGATTAAATCAAATGCTAGTTTGTATTTTGCCAGTGGAGTCTCGCAGCTCTGTGGAGCATGCAGAAATAGTGAGAGCACCCGTCTTGGTTACATTGAGGAACAATTGAACCATATGGGTGTTTCGGGTGGAGGAGGGGTGGAGTTGGGTGGTATGCATCAGCTTGCCAGATTGTGCCGGGTCTGTTTTGGTTGGAGGAATGTCGTACACATGTTCCACACATGTTCCACACATAATAAATCATCACCTGGGTAATCGGCGCGGCTAGGTTCAAAATAGCTTGTTAGCATCATTTCACAGATCCTGGAGCACAGGTGCATGCTGGGATCCGTGGGTGAAGGTATTTGTGTGTGTGACGCACAATATGTACTGTATGTGCACGTGTGTTTACCTGACGAGTCACTGAGGCTGAAGGCGATTCTAACTTCAGATTTATCAGGAGACACTCTTCGGGTTGCGGTGATCATTTATCCCTTTGTGACGCCAAAGAGAAACAAAACAGAGACGGTGATAGCTAATTAAATTAAAAGCATGTCTTAGTTTCTATCATCATGAAAAGATATTTCCTGCTTTTTCTAAACTCTAAAATTTTACGTGAATAGAACTTTTTGTTTTCTTTTCTGTTTTACTGATCTATTGGTACATTTTTTTCCTTGCAGAAAAATTACACACCTTCACATCTCAAACCATACAAAGTTGAAGCCCAGACATACTTTGAAGGATTCACATCACTATTTAAAGTGATATCACATTAAAGGTTAACTTTACTCATATTTTTGAAACATTTGCAGTGGTCTCTAGTGGAAATGAAAGCAATGTAAATCATATTCTGGAGGAAAAAAGCTCTGGCACGCCTGTTTCAGCACTGAAGATTCAGCTGGAGGAGAAAGTAGCTTCAGACGACAGGACTCAGACTCTTATTTCCTGATATTTGAACACATCGCCTCTGATTGGCTAACAGCAACATGACTCCACCACTGACTCTGTTTTCTTTGAAACGCTGATGGTTTATCTCCACAAATAACTCAAACCTGATGCAGTTCTGCCGTGTTGAGAAGTTGCTAATCTTAATGGTTAGCTTTAACCGGTCGAGACATGCTCTGCTGATTCCTGGATGCCAAACCAACAACAGCCTTCCCCGTTGCATCAAAGATGGGTGAGTTCATGAATGTTAAGTGAAAGGGTTGCCTAGATCATATGTTGCATCTAATCAAAACAACCATTGTAACACAATAGAGCATAACGACATCAACAACTCCTCAGGGGGTGGGAATGAGGGGTATTCATGGGTAGTTTCAGCTCGTTACGTAACATTAGACAACTCCAATTTTTAAATTCGACTCTCCTATATTCCGGTCAAAACTGAAAAAGCTCATTGAATAAGATGCTAAACTCCTTTGAACCCTTTGACTTAGACCTGTCAGGCCTTTTCAAAGTCTAGCATTACACCATCTAATTTCTATCAGAAGCTAATGCAGGAAGTAGGGGTAGAAGACTACATTCATGTTCAGTCTGCATGAAAAATGCAGAGTGACCAATTCTAATCAGAAATAATAATTTAAAAGTGTTATTTGTTTTGTGAAGTTTACCTTTAGGAAATTACAGAAAAGGCTGGAAATAAGGTGCAATCCTATGCAGTTTTGTATGTGACTTTTGAGTAATGCTACATAGACTTCTGTCTAATATTGGAGAACGTTGTTGATTTTTGACAATATTTCTGTTAGATAATGTGGAAAGGTAGTGGCAGACTTCTATAATGAAGATGACACTAATCAGCTTTAGATGCTCAAAACGTGGTGAAATCATTAAAAAAAATGTTCAGAAAATATATAAAAAAACAAGATTTGATACAAATCCAAGCTATTGCTTTAAAAACGTTCAAGATAATAAATATTGGAGTCAGCAGGTGCTGCTGAGCTGGAATGGAAGCCTGCAGGCTTTCTGATGAGGCGTGAGATAAAGCTGCTCTTTGGGGTCTTATAAATACACCCCACAGCCACCAGTTTCATCACGCTTTTAGATCTGCAGCGGGATTAAATAATTAAAGAGCTCTGACAGACTGGCCATGAGGGCAGGTTTTAGCTGGTCCCTTTAGCTGAAGGTGCAGGCTTTTTATAGCTATCTTTGCCTCTGTTGACCCTGAAAACTCATGCAACAACTTCCAAAAACAACATTTCTAGAGAAAATCTCTGCTGGAATCCAAAGGGTTGCGTTTTGATATGATAACGGAGACAAGCCGGGGCGTGCGTTAAAATGGGACAAGAGACGTTATGATGGAGAGAAATTCTCCTGACTGCACAGAAATCGGGATCGGCAGTTACCAAAAGCAGCACGGAGCCAAATCAAGAAATCCCGAACGCTAAAGTTCTGATCCAAACAGATCCGTCCGTCCGGAGGGTTGAATGAGCTCCGCAGCGTCTCCTCACGGGTTCCGTCGCGGTTGCGCCTTTTGCGTAAATCCAACAAAGATGGCACAAAATAAGTCCTCCACCTTCACGGAGCGTATAACCGGAGACGTTCCTTCCTTTTGTGTCGAGTAAAATAAATGCTTTCCAACACACTGACGCGAACTTTGACGGGATGCAGATGAGGGTCTGCTGGTTATCCACAGGCTGCAGCCACGCGGTTGAGCTGCTGGAGCGCAGAGCGCAGGCGGGCAGCGCAGGAATGCTGTTCGCTCCCCCCCGTGGCGGGCCAGGACCCAATTAAATGTCTCAGATGACATGACTTTAGCCCACAAAAATGCCCGTAGCTCTAGCTCTGTTTTGAGTGACACAGTCATCCCGCCTGGATGGTTTTTGGCTTTGCAATAGCTGTGCAACACATGGGCCTGGTTCTGGATGATTGGTTCCTTAGGCTTAAATCCATTTTGATTGCATGAATGCAATGCAGGTCAGTATAGGATGCAAATGCCACACAGCAAATATTTTACCTTCATCCCTAATAATAACTTAAGCATGAGGCCTATATATTTTTCAACATGTTAAAGTATCCAAAATTAGAATCAGGCTTAAAATTATCTATCACTTATAACAATAGCCCACATATGATGTGACAGGTGGAACTTGTGTTATTTAAACCTCTGGCATCCAGTGGTGCCCCCAAGGGGTGGTCAGAGGGGGTCAGGGTGACCCCTGGAAAATTATTCCCCCAAGGCAAGACCACCCCACTGAATTTGTCACATTTATATTCACATAAACTATACATTCATCTTCTTTAATCAATAAAAATCCAACAAATACATTATTTTTAATAAATAATTGATGTAGTAAATCCATCCATCCATCCATTTTCAGCTGCTTGCCCAGAATTGGGTTGCAGGGGCAGCAGCCTAAGCAGAGAAGCCCAGACTTCCCTCTCCCCAGCTACTTGGGCCAACTCCTCCAGGGAAATACCAAGGCATTCCCTGGCCTGCCGAGAGACATAGTCTGTCTAGCATGCCCTGTGTCTTCCCTTGGGTCTCCTCCCAGTGGGACATGCTCAGAAAACCTCACCGTGGAGGTGTCCAGGTAGGGAGACCAGATGTCCCGCTTTGTGCTGGACAGTCCCGCATTTCCATTGTTTTTACACGTCCTGCAAATTGGGAAAATGTCCCGCATTATTGACAGACTCCTGATAAATCTGGCATAGGGGTTGTGTGGCGAAAACAGTGACTTTTAATCAAACAAGGAGGCGGGACAACAAGGTTCAAAGTGCTTATCCGCGCAGGTGCACAAACCACTGAAACAAACCAGAAATAAACGAAACGAGAGGAAGAGGAGGAGAGGTGAGGAGAAATGAGCGCAGCGAAAAAAGAAAATGCTTCTACAACAGTGACTGGGAGAGCATTTATTCGTGGGTAAAACCTGTTCATGGCGACTCAGATAGAGCCTTTTGTGACGTTTGTCAGAGTCTTTTCTCTGTGTCTCACGGTGGGGAGTATAACGTTAAATGGCACCGAAAATCAGACACTCACAACAAACGTGTTGCTCTAAAGGATGCTTCCCGATTAATGGACATGTTCCAGAACTGCGCTGCTCTGGGTGGCTGCATGTTGGAGTAGCTCTGTTGACTAAATGTAAGTTTAGCCTTTTTTTGGATGTTTTTTCTTCTGGTTTCTCAAGAAAAGCTGTGTTTTTGTGGACGTTTTGCTTTTTTGTTTCTAGTGCTGTGAAGCTTAGTGTCATGGACTGCGTCTGCGTCTCCCTCATGTGTCTCCTCGTGTGCTCCTTCTCGCTCTAAGGATCCCCTTATGTTTCTCGTTGTGTTCCTCATGTGTCCCCTGATCTGCAGCCCTTCAGATTATTCCTCCCAGGTCCTGTGTTCCTTTGGTCTTCCCCAGTCACCCCTCTGCAGTTATTCTATAAGGTTCAGCTTTTTATTTAAAGAGCAAGTAACGTCTAAATTAACCTTCTTTTTTTTTTTGCTGATAAACTGTATAAATGAGTGTCTAATAGTGTTTTAAATGTGTGTATTCATTATTTTAGCATTTTGGTGCATTTTCTTTAAAAATTAAAAATTCTGCCTAAATACCACAGTATAGTACCACCTTCAGCTTAAAACATAGACTTTGAGTCATTTTGAATACACTTTAGCCAATGGCTAAAGAGAAAGATACTACGTAAACCAGCCGAGTACTACGTGGCAGTTCTGTGTCAAAGTTATAAAGCATCGAGAGTCTCGGCCATGTCTTGTGGCGAGTTGGGAGTTTGATTTGCAAGCGAGTGTAGGACGGTTAGTGGTAGGGGGGCACTGTCATGGTCTGCGTCTGCGTCTGCATCTCCCTCATGTGTCTCCTCGTGTGCTCTCGTGTGCTCCATCTCCCTCTAAGGATCCCCTTATGTTTCTCTTTGTGTTCCTCATGTGTCCCCTGATCTGCAGCCCTCCAGATTATCCCTCCCAGGTCCTGTGTTCCTTTGGTCTTCCCCAGTCACCCCTCTGCAGTTATTCTTTAAGGTTCAGCTTTTTATTTAATTAGTCTCTTTAGTGTGTTTCTTTCCTCCACCGGTGCCTACAATTATTATAATAAATATTGTGTTTGACAAGTTTTTTTGTGCTGCCAAATGTCTCATTTGGATTCCAGTTTTTATATTTTAATGGATATTTATAAATGACATGTATTGAATTATCACATTGTTGCATGTTTAACTAGCTCTATTGTGATGAATTAAACTAGCACCTCACTGTTAAAAGCTCGTTTTAATTTCAAGCATGTTTAAGTATTTATGGACATGAACAAAAACAGGACATATATACATTGAGATTTATTTAATTAATATAACAAATAACTGTTTAGAGGAGGAAAGAGTCATTCAAAGGCACATTCTTCTGGAAGCTCCTGATCCTGACGACGCCACCAGAGGAGACCAGCTGCAGACACCAGATGATCACCTACGACCAAGAGAGCAGCTGGTATCAGTAAATAAATAATGAAATCAGGGCAGTTTTAGTGACCTGTTTGGGATTGTGTAACATAAATGAACATTACAGAATAACTTTCTCATGGGGTATTTTCATAACTTTCTATGCAGCAGACTGTAACTTGAGCCCAGGGCTCCTGGAGAGCTGCTATCCAGAATGTTTCAGTGGTTTTCCTGCTTTAACAGGTTAGATTAGCTGTTCAGCAACTCAGCTATTTGTTGCTGATTAAAACCAGGTGTGTTGAAGCAGATAAATCTCTAAAACATACTGAATGATAGCTCTAGGGCCGTGGAGCCAAACCCTGCAGCTAATCTAATGCTATGGCTAATGGCTACTTACCATTCAGAGCTGGTTCTGTTGGGTTGGTTCCGGTAGTTTCAGGCAACTCACAAGCTCAAACAATAAGGCTCAGGTCCGCTTGTCTCCTCCAAATAGACTTGGTCCCTTTCTTCTCGAGTGTCTGGGTAAGGAGGGGGAGAAACCTCCTCCACTTCTAATGACTGCACAGAGTGAAGGGATTAAGCTTCGTCTCGTTACCCATCGTCTTCGTCACTGCCGCGGCTCCGCCCTCTCGGTCCTCCAGGCAACGCCTACTAATGTTGCAGTTTTAAAATTGATACGTGGGTGGAGAAGGACTCTTAGGTACGCTTGACCTGCCCTTTAAATAGTCTCTTTAGTGTGTTTCGTTCCCCCACCAGTTTTTGTAGTTTTCCTTCCCCCTTAGAATATTAGTTATTTTGCTGCTCTTCTTGTCTTTAGGTTTTTTGCTCTTAGGTCCTCTCCCTGATTAGTTAATTGTTTTCATTAGGTTTCTCTCCCCACACACCTGCAGCCTATCTGCCTCTCATCATGCCCCAGTGTATATAACCCTGTCTGCATCTCTGTTGTTGGGTCATTGTCTTGTGTCACCCTTGTCTCGTTCCCCTTTCTAGATTTTGGTCTTCGTTTTTGGATATTCTAGGTTTTGTTATTGGGAGTTTTTATTTTTGATTTTTGGCTCCCTGCCTTTTTGGATCTATTCTTAATAAAGGATTTGACGTTATTTCTCCACTCAGTGTCATCTGGTTCTCTGCATCTTTGGGTCCTGACCTCCTCTTGGCTCCCCATCGTGACACTTAGAGGATTTTTACTGCTATTTTTTCACTTTTTGAGCATTTGTTATGATGTGTAACCATGGCAACAAGCAGATTTATAATCGGGAGCAGCTGATTAACATTGTAAAGGCTGAAATAATACCTCAACTGAAGCCACAAATCCCAAATGACCTAAAACGCAAGAAGCGTGGGTGCAGAGTGGGAGCAAAATGGAGACAGAGAAAGAGGAAATTCAAACCATCTCTTCCATCGATCATAATGGGCAATGTGAGATCACTGGCCAACAAGATGGATGAACTCCAAGCCCTTTCAAGGACTCAGTCAGAGTATTGGCAGTGCAGTGTTATGTGTTTTACTGAGACGTGGCTGCAGGACCATATCCCGGATTCCAGCGTCTCTCTGCCAGGATTCCTGACTGTACGAGCAGACAGAGATCTGATGAGGAGCGGGAAAAGAAAAGGAGGTGGAGTGGCAGTGCTTGTCAAAAACAGATTGTGCCATCCAGGTCATGTTTCAGTGAAATGTCGTCTCAGCAGCCCAGATGTTGAACTCTTGGCAGTCAGTTGTCACCCATATTATTTGCCAAGAGAGTTCACCAGTGTTGTCTTGGCAACCGTTTATATTCCACCATCAGCCATTGCTTAAAGTGCATGTGATGCCATCAGCTCTGTTGTCGCTAAGGTACAAACCCAGCACCCCAATGCATTTGTGGCTATATCTGGTGATTTTAATCTTGCCTCGCTCTCTGCTTTACTTCCAACATTTCAACAGTTTGTCAGCTGCTCTACCAGAGAAAACAAGACATTGGATTTGTGTTATACAAATGTAAAGAATGCATACATGTCCAAAACAAGACCTCCTCTGGGACAATCAGATCACAATCTTGTGTTTCTCTGCTCAGCATACAAACCACTTGTTCAGAGGCAACCTGTGACAAGAAGAACTGTGAAAAAATGGTCACAGGATGCTGAAGAAGCCCTACAGAGTTGTTTTGAGACCACAGATTGGATGACTCTCTGCCAAGGATATGAAGAGGACATCAATGCCATGACTGGATGTGTCACTGACTATATAAACCTCTGTGTGGAGACCATCATACCCACCAGAACAGTGAGATGCTTCACTAATAACAAACTCTGCATCACCAGTGGACTGAAGAATCTGCTAAATGAGAAAAAAGAGCCTTCAAGGAGGGAGACAGGGAATTATTGAGGAGTATACAAAAGCAACT